CCTGTCCATGTGCCCTTGTCTTCAGGTCTTCGAGTCGGTGGATGAGGCAGAGCACGTGGAGGCCGAAGGCAGGTCGGAGGAGAAACAGCCCAAGATCCCAAATGGAACCCTGGTGAATGGCACGTGTTCCCCGGACTCCGGCCACCCTTCCTCCCACAACTTCTCCTCCGGGCTCTCAGAGCACTCAGAGCCCAGCCTGAGCACGGAAGACAGCGTCATGGACGCCCAGCGAAGCGCCGCCCTGGTGCTTCGGCCCTGCGACAGCAGCGTGGATGATGGGCAGAGCAGCGAGGCCACCACTTCCCGGGACGAGGTCCCCTGCGAGGAGCTGGCCGTGCAGGACAGCCTGGAGAGCGACCTCCTCGCCAATGAGAGCATGGACGAGTTCATGTCTGTCCCCGGCAGCATGGACGTGGCGCTTCCTGAGAAGGAGGGCCCCTCGCCGGAGGGCTGTGCGGGCGGCAAGGCCGAGAAGCACAGCCACGCGGGCAGCGAAGACGACCTCTCAGAGGAGCCCGAGATGGAGAGCCTTTTCCCTGCCCTGGCCTCCCTGGCCGTCGGCACCTCTGCCAACAGCGAGGCGTCCCCCGTGTCTTCCAGCGGAGTCACCTATTCCGTAAGCCACCAGGACTCTCCCCTCTCCTCCCGGTTCCCTTGTGCGACACCTCAGGAGGGTGACAGTGTCCCACACATCTCAGTCACATCAGAACGGCCCTGAATCATCACCTTTTCTCCACTGCAGAGGACTCACGGTTGGAGCCCATTTGGTAGAGAAGATAGTAGATAACAGAACACTCAAGGGGTGTGGACTTTGCAGCCAGACGCTGCTGGGTTCAAATCCCAGCTTAGGCACATCACTTGAATCTTTTGGCGCCTCTGTTTCCCTGTCGGCCCAGCATCTCCATCTCCAAGTTGTTTTTTCAGTCAGTGAGTAAAGCCCTCTGTGCCTGGCACACAGCAGCCTCCATGATGAGCATCTTGGTTTAGACTCAGGTCCAGTCTTTCAAATATTTGGATTTGTCTTCTTGCCAAAATGTCTAAGCCAAAGGACATAATGGAAAGGGAGGTTTTCCAAACCAGGCCCTGTGTGTGCATTTTCCTTTGAAGATGCATTGTCTCTATCAGACATACGTGCGTCTGAAGTTGAAAGAGTCAAACATGCAAGCAAAACTGGATAGAACCCAGAAGCTGTCTGCCCCCCTCCCAGGCTCACTCTTCCAGAAATAATAGTATGCGCTTATCCTGCCCAATTAGCAGACACTTCTTGATCTCTTTTCAGTTTTAGACATAATTAACGCCCCACTATGAAAAAGAGGATTTAATCTTCTTCCTTCCCCACCTCATACTTTGACCACACCAGTGAAACCTTCCCATCCTCGCTTATCGAATGTCATTCATTATTAATAATTTTTTTAAATTAATTGTCCTAGATGTGTTAGAACTACCTTTTCTGTTTTTCTTTACATTAGTTTGATACATATATAGTAACACACACGTATGCACATATGTAGCTAAGTGACACCCCCACCCCCAGTCTCTGCCAATTTTCTGCATCTCTTCTGAACACTGAGATACACCACACTATTCTTTTGTATGTCTTAGAATTCTCTCCCAGAGCCTCTGGTCTTTCCCAGCTGTCTGATGGGCGTCTGTCATCCTTGGTCTCTCTCCATCACCACCTCAAGGTTACTTTCACTTCTCTCCTATGATTGTCTTTTGAAATGAAATAGGCTCTTTAGAACTCCCTTTAGCAAGGCCTTTCTTATTTTCTGTCTTTAAAGTCTTCATTTTGCCCTAATTTTTGAAAGAGATTTCCACTGGAAATGCACCTCTAGACTATTGCAGTTATTTTCTCAGCGCTTTGAAGATGTTGTTCTATTGTCTTCTGAATTTCATCTTTGATTTTGTGAAATCAGGTGTCTACTTATGTGTCATTCCTTTAAAGATGATCACCTTTCTCTGGTTACTTTTAAGATTTTTTAAAAAAAAAACCGGCCAAGGGAAGGGGTTTTTTTTTTTCTATTATGGTTTGTTGGACTTTATGTATCTACAAATTTGTGTAGTTATTCTTGAAAATTCTTTATTTGTTCAACTGTTGCTACTTCCCCTTTTTTCTCTCCTTCTATAACTCTGATTATTAGACTTATACTATCTCCATTCTTTAAATAATCACATATTTTTTCTTATCTCATGTGGTCCCCATAGTTCTCCCACCACCATATCATCCATGAACCATCACTATATTCCTTTGAGTTCATCCCTCTCTTGTTTTGCCCCTCCCCCCATTTTACTATATGCTTCAGTTCTAAGGTTGGCTTGCTAGTTTTGACTTTTTTTTTTATATTTTTGTTTATTTTCTCCATATCCACATATAAGTGAGACCACCCTGTATATATCTTTTTCCTTCTGACTTATTTCAGCTAGCACAATCCCTTTTAGCTTCATCCATATTGCCACAGATGGCATGAGTTTGTCTTTTTGACTACAGAGTAGTATTCCATTGTATGGTATGACTCAACTCTTTGACCCATTCAACTATTGTGGGGCATTTGAGTTGTTTGCATATCTTAGCTAATGTAAATTTGTGCTGCAGTAAACATAGGTGTGCAGGTTTCCTTTCAAATTAGTGTTTTGGTATCTGTTGGAGAGATTCCTAGGAGTGGAGTTCTGGATAACATGGTAGCTTTTTTAGAGTTCTGAGGACCCTCCATGCAGGCCTATTCTGGCTGGACCTGTTATTATCCCCACCAGCAGTGTAAAAGGATTGCTTTATCTCCACATCCTCTCCAGCATTAGTAGTTTGTTTTTTTGTTTGTTTGTTTGTTTGTTTGTTTTAATGTGGGCCATTCTTACTAGAGTGAGGTGATGTCTCATTGTGGTTTTGATTTTCATTCCCCTGATTATTAGTGTTGTTGAATATTTTCTCATTTGCCTCTTGGCCATTTGCATTTCTTCTTTGGAGAAGTGTCTTTTTAGTTCTTTTGCCCATTTTTGACTGGGAGGTTCACTCCTGTCCCCATTTTATTACTGCTTTGTCCCTCTGTGCTGGACCCTAGTATATTCTACAATGTGCTAATTCTCTTTTCAGTAGTATTTAATAAACTTATTGAAGTTTTTCGTGGCTTTTCTTCAGTCTCTTACAAAATGATCTGCTTGATTTTTTAATGATTTCTTGAATACTGTTTTTGTGTTTTAATCTTTTATTTCTAAAAAACCCATTATTTTATTTGCTATTCCGGATCATTTTAATACTGAAGCCTTGATAGAGCTGATCCTGCTGTTTGCTGTTTGTCCTGACTATTACTCAGAATGCCTCCTCTCTCCCTCTTTCTGAATGTTCTGTGATTTTTTTTAACATGAATTCATGTTTTTTAGAACTTTATTGCACTATTTTGCCTGGGTGAAAGGTAGACTCCTCAGAAAAGACTTTTCTTTCTGCTTTTTTCCTAGTAACCAAGGTATAACCAACTCAAGAAAAATTTTAAATTAAGTTCTTATGGGTTGTGGGATTTTGAATCCTCAGTATGTGTAAGTTATAAACTTGATTTGGGGCTCTTAATTATCCAGTGAGAAGCCTTTAGACTTTACTTGGAAACTATGTTCAAGATTGGCTCCAGGTGTTCATTTTTCTAGCTCTCCCTTATGCTACATTAGGGCAGGACCCCCAGAATTCACACCCTCACTGGGGTCTTGTCCTAATGCAGGAAAACCTCTTATTCAGTACTTTAACTTGGAGGTGGACAGGGCCACAGGACCATGAAATCAAGTTAAATGTTCCCTATTTGGCAGGCTTCCCTCAAGGCAAAAGCAAGCTTTGGTATTTTCTTATCTCTCTGGGTTTAATTTTTTATCTTTCAATTGCACTTTCTTTACCATTATCATTGATTGTTACCATTATCAGGATTGCTCAATTTAAGAATTGAACTTCTACCCAAGTTTTTCAGTGTTCTTGCCCATTTTTTAGCAAAAAAGGAATGCATTACCAACTGCAGTTATAACTCTTATTTCTCCACTCACAAAATGGGGTAAATAGTTCTGTAACCCTTGGAGAGCACTAATTTTTACGGAATCAGAAAACAATAATGAAAACCACATTAAATACCCCCCTGACTCTGGTAGAGGCCTGGTAGAGGACCCCCTGGTCCTGGCAGAGGCCTGGTAGAGGACCCCCTGGTCCTGGCAGAGGCCTGGTAGAGGACCCCCTGGTCCTGGTAGAGGACCCCCCTGGTCCTGGTAGAGGGCTAAGGGGGGAGTAGCGAGGAGGAGCAGCTCTCAGAGATGGCCACTAGGAGTTGGATATAACGTTCTTTTCTTGCCTGCTGGGGCCCACAGCCAGAACTGCTGGACCTGTACACGGTGAACCTGCACCGCATTGAGAAGGATGTGCAGAGGTGCGACCGCAACTACTGGTACTTCACCCCTGCCAACCTGGAGAAGCTGCGCAACATCATGTGCAGGTGGCTGGCGCAGGGTGGGAGAGTGCGTCTGGGGACTCGCTGTCAGGTCACGGCAGAGGTGGGGGCTGCCGGGCGCTTACACCACGCCCACCTGGAGCCTCATTACAGACTCCACTGACAGTAAGATAGCGACCCCAATAATGTTAGTGATGATGGACATTTACTGAGTGCTTACTGTGCAGCAGGCACGGCCCTGAGACTTTGACTGACGGCATTTCTGTTGGACCTCACAACAAGCCTATGGAGATTGTATTATCTCCTTTGAGGCATTGGAGCTCAGCAGGGTAACACTTTGCTCAGTCCCCTAGCTGGGAGACTGAGCAGGAATTTATACTCATGTCATGTGAGCTCGAGAATCTGTGCTTTATCTCTTTAAGCCAAGATCTGGGGTTACTTACTACTGTTCATTAAAAGCATAAAGAGAAACTTCTTTCATTTTCCATCATCAGTGTCTCTTACTCAAAGAAGTAGTGCCTGCTAGCAGCTTAGTGAATCCCCTTCAAAATCACATATATAGATGTGTACCTATACAACTGGCATGCAGGTGAGGCGCGTGTACCCAGGGTGTGACCACCTGAGTTCAAACTCTGCATATATATATATATATGTATATACACACACACACACCCTGTATACATTAACAGTGTATAATATATCATAAGTGCATACAGTTTACTTTTTTTAATGTCTACATATATGAAGTTATACTGTAAATATTTTTCTGCAGTCTGTTTTTTCCACTCAGTATTACATCCTGTAGTTCTTAACATGCGGTTCTAACTCAGTTTGCAAACTACTACTGTAGCTCATAGGCCAAGTCCAGCCTACTACCTGCTTTTGTAAATAAATTTTTATTAGAATGCAATCATGTCCACTTTTTTGCGTATTGCTTGTGATTGCTTCTGCAGAGTTGAATACTTGGCACTGAACATAGGGCTTCCAAAACTGAAAGCAATTATTACCTGGACCTTTCAGGAAAGTTTGCCAACTTTCAGGAAAGTTTGCCAACCCCTGCTCTAATGCAGTCTTATTAATAAACGCCATCTCTTAAATCTGCCTTTTGTTCTCACAAGAAATCACTGCCTCTCAAAGTTTAGTCTAAAGAATACAAATGTAATGAGTGTTTTGATAATCTTCTACATTGAAGTGATAAACTGCTGAGGGGGAGGGAGGATAGATTGAGTTTTGCTTGGTTATGGCATTGGGAGAAGTCATGAAGACCTTACAGAGATGGACATTGGCAAAATTAGGAGACAACTGAAGAAACCGTTTGGCTTACAGGACAGGGACACATTTCCTGGGGTGAGGCCATGTGTGTTCAAACCCTGCACCTGCCACTTACTATTCGGTGTATCATTTCTCTCTATATATGCTTCAGCATCCTCATCTGTGAAATAGGATAATAATAATACCTTTCTCATATTATTTATTTTGGGAATCAAGTGACATCATACATGTATAGTGGGCTGAGCTGGGCTGAGTTCACAGTAAATATCATTAAGGGGTAGAAGGGCATTCTGGAAGGGAAGTCCTCAAAGACACAGGTGCATAAATGTGCAGTCTATGAGTACCTTAGAGAGGAAGAAGTACTGAGAAGCAATATAGGAGACTATGAAGATAGACTGGGAGTTGAGGGGTTTGGCATTGTCCTGTATGCCTCGGAGAGCCTGCAAAGGGTAGGGTTTGGGTGTGAAGCGGCCTCCTTGTGCTGGGCTTTTGGAAGGTCATGCTGGTAGCTGAATATAACATGCTGGAAGAGAGTGAGACGGGGGACAGGGACACAGGTGGGAGGTCGAGAGAGGTGTGGGGGAGGGATGGAGGGCTGAGCCCGGGTGGGGGGGAAGAGGGAAGAGGGTTGGAGAGGCGGGTAGTGGACTCTTGTCTCTCTTGCAGCTACATCTGGCAGCACATTGAGATCGGCTATGTCCAGGGCATGTGTGACCTCCTGGCCCCGCTGCTGGTCATTCTGGATGACGGTGCGTGTGTCCTCCTCATCCCAGGGTGGGAAGTGCAGTTTGTCCCTGCGCACTTGCTTGGGTCACAGAGGGTCAGTACAGGTGCTCAGAAGACCCCTGTGGTATGTCAAGTTCCCAGTGAAATAGAGTTCTTACATCCCATATTGCCCAACTTTTGACATTCAGCTTGGCCTTTGCTAGCAACTGAGAAATAGGAAGAAACAAAGAAAAATCCAGGTCTGGGTGATTTAACTGGTGAGTTCTGCCAGCCATTGAAAGAAGAATGAATACCAACTCTTTGCAAACTTTTCCAATAAAAGTAGAATACTTCCCTTCTCGTTCTGTGCGGGCATCCTGTAGAACACCTGACCGGTATCCTCCACCATCCGGGTCATCAGAAACCAGGGAACCCGAGAGTGTCATAGCCACACACGCCTCTGGGGACACCTGTATGTGCTGTGTGTTCCAGGATGGGCGCTTAGAGCATGGAAAGGAGGTTAGACAGAAGCTGTGAACCTTAGGAAATAATGCGTCATCGCTGGGCCGTGAATTCTCACACATGCACCATTCTCATGTAAGAGTTAATAGTAGGGAAGTGGTTGTGGCATCTAGGGAAACTCTGACCCCTTCACCATTTTCTGTAAATTTAAGCTGATCTGAAAAATAGTCTTTAAAATATGGATCAGATCCTATCATGCCTTGGGTGTAACTTGCCCTGAAATTACTAGGTGTTGACAGAAAAAAAATTCTATCTTCAAATTTGAAATTTTAACTGAGGTAAACAGTTACGAAGCAGGTTTCTAAATTGCAGAACTTCTCAGAGCCTTTCCTTAATAAATGCAGTCACTCTAAACAACATTTCCTAAAGTTATCGGACCCTTTCTTTGCACAATGCCTGTAAACACCTTTCCGTCATTAACAATTGCAGTTTGAATACAGTGGTTTCTAGACTTGAAAATTTTATGTAATAGCAGAATTTCAAAAAAAGGTTTGAAAATAGCAAAACATTGTCCATGTGTAATAGCAGATAGAGATCTTTAGACAAGTGTCTATTGTGACCATCATGTCCTAAAAGAAGGGCTATTCCACTCCTCTAAATTGGGGGAGTTGTTTAATTTAAGATTGGCGAGCATCCCCTTTATTCCCTCCTCTGTGTTTCTCATTGGGCTGTGCCTTGGTGAACTAGTCCAGGGCTTGATGCCATCATTTGGAAGCTGCAGTTCCCTGAAATAGTGGCAGAGTCGACCCCTCTCCTGTGCTCTTTCCCCAGAGGCCATCGCCTTCAGCTGCTTCACGGAGCTCATGAAGAGGATGAACCAGAACTTCCCCCACGGAGGCGCCATGGACACACACTTTGCCAACATGAGGTCACTAATCCAGGTGTGATCTGCTCTTCTGCAGTATTACAACTCTTCCAGCTCTGTCCAGCAGACCTCCTGTCAACTCTGCGGTCAACCCAAATTGAATTTAGTCAATAAATCCTGCCTAATTCAGTTCACCCATCTCAGCCCAACCCAGCTGAACTCCAAAACTCAATTCAGCTCAATATCTGAATTGAACTAGAAAACAAAACTAAAAAACGCAATTTGGCTCATCCTCAACTCAGCATTCAAACCAGCTCCATTAGTTTCGTTTCTCACTGAATATTTACGGTGGTCATAACAGTGAACAAGATGCAGCCTTCACTCTTAAGAGTATATTTAATCGTATTGGTCCTTTTTCTCAAGTAACCTTTGGTGCTGTTGTGAGTACACACACACACACACACACACACACACCCTTTTATTGAGATATAATTTATGTGCCCTAGAACTTAAATGTTACTTTTTTAATGTTACCAAATCAGTGGTTTATAGAACATTCAAAGTTGTGACGCCATCACCACTGTCTGTTTTCAGAACATTTTCATTATCCCCAAAAGAAACCCCATATTCATTATCCATCTACAGTAGTTTCTCTCTGCCTAGACCCTAGCAACCACTAATCTACTTTCTGCCTCTATAGATTTACTTATTCTGGACATTTCATTATAGATGGAATCATAAAATATATATGGCCTTGTGTCTGGCTTCTTTCACTTAACATAATGTTTTCAAGGTTCATCTGTGTTGTGGCATGTAGCTGTATATTATTCCTTTTCATTGCTATATAATATACCTTTGCAAAGACATACCTTATCCATTCGCCCATTGATAGACACTTGGGTTGTTTCTGCCTCTTGGCTATTTAATAATGCTGCTGTGTACATTCTTCTATCAGTTTTTATGTGGACATATGTTTTCTTTTCTCTTGAAAATACACCAAGAATTGCAATTGGAGCTTCAACATTTTACATGCCTACTAGCAACCTATGAAGGTCCTAGTTTCTCTGCCTCTTTGCCAATATTTTGTTGTCTGTCTGTTTAGTATAGCCATCCGAGTAGGTGTAAGTGGTGTTTCACTGTGGCTTTCAATTTGACATTGTATTTTGCTAATGGCTAATGATATGTTTCTCATATGCTTATTGGACATTTAGTTTCAAATCTTCTTTGGAGGAATGACTGGGTTAGGTTGAGATAGGCTGACTTTTCACTTTGAATCCTTTTCTTGTTTTTCACCTCTGCCTGACTGTGAAGAGCTTGTGGTGTCTGATAAGGGGGTGTGCCATCATTTACTCAGCTTCCCCTCTGGTCCAGCCTTGCCCCTGGAGGGTGATACATATCTTTTCTTCCTCTGACAGATCCTGGACTCTGAGCTCTTCGAACTGATGCATCAGAATGGGGACTATACGCATTTCTATTTCTGCTACCGCTGGTTCCTACTGGATTTCAAACGAGGTACCAGCTTCTAACTGGGGCCCTGTCCCTTGGCTCTTGTGGAACCTCAGAGAGAAAGATATCATGGAGGTGGGGAGTGTTGAAAGAAAGCCAGTGGAAGAGTAACACCCATTTATTGAGTGCTGATTTGGGGTCACTGTGTGGTAAATGTTTCAGTTCTTGAAACTAGAGTGGAGAGTAATCCAATTCCAAGCTAGGAGTAGTAAGCCAGAATCTGAGCCCACCTCTACTCAACTTCTAAGCCAAGTGCCTTTCATTCTATGAAATTGTTGATCAGAAAAAAAAAAATTGAAGCCCATAGAGCATGTTATACACGTGACTCAGAGATGATTTATAACACAGCATATTGCTATCGTGCAAATTGGGCATGATGCCGATACTATCTAAAGTGTGTGTAGGTGTTTATTAAGTGCCAGGCACTGTGTTGAGCCATTTTCTGTGCGTTAACTCTCCAGTCCTTCACTACTATTAGCATCACCCCACATTGCAAATGAGGAAATAGAGAGGGTCATGGAGGGGAAGTAGGCAAGTGATGAGCTAAGATTCAGGCCGTGTTTATTGGACATAGGAAGCCACTGCTCTCAGTCTACTAGGTCCAGGGGCAGCTACCAGCTCTACCTGTGTGCAGGAAGTAGGGGAGATGCCCCATTAGGTTCTTAAAGGAGATGGAAAGAGACAGGGACGCCATCCCTGGACAGGCCAGGGACAAGTCAGGCAATTGGACGTGCTTGGCTCCTTGACCTACAGAAAGTCACAACTGGAAACGTACAGTGCACCTGGTGGCATGAGCTTCAGATAGGGAAAGTTGACTCTTCTGGTAGTCCAGTGACAGAGTCCAGGTCTCCTGGCTCCTGGTCTGAGCTCTGGGCGCTGCACCAGGGCAGAAGCACAGAGCTCAGGTGCCTAGCAGGGAGGTCGCAGCCAGAGCTCTGTGGCTGACTCCTTCCCTGCCCGCGTGCGTCTCGGCAGAACTTGTCTATGATGATGTCTTCTCCGTCTGGGAGACCATCTGGGCAGCCAGACACGTCTCGTCCGCCCACTATGTCCTGTTCATCGCGCTGGCTCTGGTGGAGGTCTACCGTGACATCATCTTGGAGAACAACATGGATTTCACAGACATCATCAAATTCTTTAATGGTATGTATTACTAGGGTCTTCTCTAAGGTTGTGTGGGCTTCCGGAGAGCTCCCTCCTGGGTCCTTGGGAGGGATGGAGATTCGCTGATACTTAGACTCACACAGTGCACAGGACAGTGAGGGTTCTGCCCACTTTTGCAGAACCCTCATTTTTGCTTCCAAATGGGTGACTTGATATCTTGTAAGGCTGAGCATGTGTTTTCTCAGGAATCCGGCAGGAGGATGTGGGTATTGAACTCAGGATCGGGGCAAACCCTGGCTCTGCCTCTAGCTGCTGTGCCCATGGACACGTGCCAAACATGTCCTGCCGCATCCCTGACGTGGGGTAACAGTTTCTGTTTCCCAGTGTTCACACCAACCAGGCACCACTTGACAATTGAAGTGAAAAAGGCAGTCTTGGAAACCAGACAGAATTGGGTTCTTGTCTACTGCTTATCTGTGCCCTTGGGTGAGTGACTGCACGTCTCTGGGCTTCAGATGCCTGGAGGATAAAGTGGTGCTAATAGCCCTCACCCCACCCCAAGACACCCAGAGGATTAAATACGATGAGAGGGTCATTATAGCTACTGTCATCACTACTCCAAAACTTTAAAAAGCAAAGATGGTGTTGAAAAAACCAAAAGAAGACAAAATCCAACTGTGACCGACTGCGTTCTGGAAAAATTAGCTTTTTATTTAACAGGCTTTTTATTTTGGAATCATTATATCTCTGCTACAGGAAAGTTGTGGAGACAGTACAGAGAGTTCCTGGTAGACTTCAGCCAGCTCCCCTAGTGTTACTGTATTACCTGATCTGGTACCTTTGTCCACAGCTGAAAAAATTACCTGGGTGCATCACCATTGGCTAACTACAGATCGTACTTGATTGCACCTGTTTTTGAACTCAGGTCCTTTTTCTGCTCCAGGATCCACTCCAGGAAATCACATTGCATTTAGTGGGCTCATGAATAAACCTTGCTCACCCATTCTTTTCCATCGTCATCTATATGTGTGTATGCATTACGTTGCTACCGTCACAGAATCCAGTTACATCTGGGTTGTTTCCACTTCATCATTTTGGAGCTGTCTTCCATGTAATCATTTTCAAGACTGCAGATCACACCTCATGTGACTGTCACTGACTCATGCTCCGTGAGCCATCTGGGTCTTCCGGTGGTGGGTGTGACAGAGAAGCCAGCATCTCTAAAATTTCACCCTCCCCTGTGCCCTCCTCTACCCCCCTCCCTTCCCGCCTGCCCCTGTACAAGTTACACTCCGTGGCTGTAGCCATCAGTGCCAAGTGTTTAGATCCAAACCGCTCAATAAATATGTATATCCTAGCAACTTAGCCCTTTGAAAGCATAATGCAGATACAGCAAAAGAGAATATTTCCTTCATGGGGAAGCACCTGCAGAAGCGGGGGACCGCTGCACCTGTCAGCTTTGCACAGCTTCCCAAACTGAGGGACCCGAGGGGGGCGCCGCCCCCACCCTGTGCCAGGGACTTCTCCGTGGTCCTTGCTTTTCATCACAGCAGCCTCCTGCTGAAACCTAGATTTTTAAAGCGAGAGTCCTTGACAGGACTCACTTGTGCTGGCAGTTTCTCGGGAGCGTTGCGGTGTCCCTCAGAACGTCTGAGCTCACGGCGCCATTCTGGGTGCTGGGGCGCCCAGTTCAGGAGCCTCGGTCTCACGCCTCATTCCTCTGCTAAATGATTCCTTTCTGCTAAGTGTCTCTGTTTAAGACTATTCTGTTTTAAAGGGCCACACTCTGTGTGGGCCTTGTTGCAAGTGTTTTTGCTGTCTCTGGTCCTCTCCCCTCCCTTCCCCTTGCTTTCTGCTGCTTCCTTCCATCATCCCCTGAAGCACCTACTGTGTGCGCTGCTTTCTTAGAAGGCTGCTACTCACTGAATTTGTGGAAGGCGGTGGGAAGACCTGACATTTTATAAGCACACCCAGTGTCATCTGATCTGATCCCATGTTGGTATCTCCCTGTGAATTTGGTACTTATAGGCCCCATTTTATAGAAGGGGAAAGTGAGGCCAGGAGGTGTACACCTTCCCCCTGGGGGTCTGACCCTAGAGGGGGCGTGAGGAGGGGCGGGAGCAGAAGTGTGTCCTGAGGGTGGACGCCGGAAGGGGCTCATGAGGTCTTGCTTTCTGCTCTTCCAGAAATGGCCGAAAGACACAACACCAAGCAGGTCTTGAAGCTGGCCCGGGACCTCGTGTACAAGGTGCAGACTCTGATAGAGAACAAGTGAGGCCCCCGGGGTGTCAGCCAGCCGCCTCCCGGCCCCGGCTGTGGGAGAGACGCTCCGGTGTCTGTTCGCGAGCTTGGACTTCTGTGCAAATGGAAACGGCCCGGCCTTCGCCACCAGGCAGATGGGGTGCGGGGGTTGCCCCTTCGGTTTGGCCTTATGTTTTCCTGCTTGACCAAAGATTGCCCCGGTCTGGGACTTCTCCCTTGCAGGAGTTGAGGGTTGGTGATGGACCGGAGGGGAGGTGGTCTCCAGAATGCTCTCCTCTCTCTTCTCTACCCCACCCCTTGAAACGGGGTGAATTTGAAACTTGGGGAGAGGATTGGGGGGGGAACTGTTGGAGGGGAGGTCTTTGGGGCGACCTCTACTTGCTGAAAGGGGCCTTTGGAGGTGTCCGGAGCAGAGCTGGCGGATTGGCTGCAGCAGGGTTTCTGCAGCAGCACCCAGATTAGAGATGGGGGGCCCTCCTTGTGCATGGGGCGTGAGCAGCATCCTGGCCTCTCCCCACTGGTTGCCAGCAACCCCATCCTCCCTGCCCCAGTGGCGACACCCTAAGGTGTCTCTAGATAGTACCAAACATTCCCAAGCAGGCAAAATTGCCCCATTCGAGAAGCACTGGCTTAGAGGAGGGGCTCCCCACACACCCCCTCCCACTTTCCTTTCCCCTAAGTCACCTCTGCTTGAGGCTTCCACCTACTCAGACAGGGCACAGGGGAGTCCACACAGATCTCTGCGGCCGGGGATCCCTCTTGCTGTGTTCTCAGCTTTCTCCTCCTCCTGACCCCAGGCCGTACCTTTCTTTTTTAGTAAAGTGTCCCTGGCAAGGCCATGGGACCAGGGAGGCCTGTGGGCCAGGAATAGCTCCTCAGGGCCCTGCGCAGAGCCCGGCCACTGCACACCACCAGGCTGCTGCGCCGGCCCTGGAAGCGCGTGCTGCTGAGAGCTGCCGGTCTAGGAGGCCGACGTCCCCCTACGTGCCCCCTGCCCGGAGCCGGAGAAGGTGGCTTCCGGTTAGGTCTGGAAATGCTCCCCTCCACATGGCTCACCAGGGCAGAGCCCGCTTAGCTAGGTCTCCCGTGGTGCCCCCGAGAGCCTTCCGCCAACTCCTCTGCCCTGAGAAGGCAGGTCCCGGGGAGAAGCGGTGAGTCAGGGAGGAACGCCGTGGCCAAGAGCAGCAGTTGGGGCTTAGGGGAGAGGGGGGCTCATGACGCACGTGAAGCGTTCCCAAAGCGGGTGTCGGGGGCTGAGCCAGCCAGCACAGTGAGAGGCGCCTGCCCCACGTGTCCCCAGGCCTCCCCTGCGGCTGACCAGGCCTTCTGCCCTAGTCGGGGCTCTGAGCACAGTGGACGAGGCCCAGACGCCAGGGCTGTGAACTGTCGGTGACAAGCGCATCTCCTCGCCCCGAGCCCCAGCTTTCCAAGGCAGGGAAAATGTGTGACAGCTCCCCTGACAAAAGTTGATTTTGCCACCCCGCAGTCCACTGCAGGGTGTTGTGTTAGCCAGACCAGGGTCTGGAGCTTCTGATTCTTCTTTATTTTTCTGAGACTGGTGACAAAGCACAGCACAAGGCCCTTCTCCCCGCTGGAGTTCCAGACAAGCGTCCGCGCTTGCCGTGTGCAGTGGCTCGTGTCTACTCGACTTTCCGTGCTGCTTCAGGTCCCCTGCGTGGTGTGTGTGTCCTTGTGCCTGGGACTGAACCGGGGGGGTCGTTCTGTCCGTGAAGTGCCAGCCCCCCTTTTCTTAGTGTTGCCAATGTACCTTGTTTGTCACTGTTTACTGGAGAGTTGTGTCTATATACAGAGAAAATATATCTAAACAGATGTGTGAATCTGGCTTGCCTTTTGCTTCTTTGGGGGTATTTTTTTCCTAAAGAAAGAAGGAATATTCGCTTCTGAAGTCGTGTCTTGCCACCCCCACCCAAGTGGCCCCTACCAAGCGGGGACAGAGCCCCATAGCTCCCTGGTCTTTCCCCGGAAGGCTCAAGGCGAGACGTTTGTCACCCCGAGGGGGCGTATTCCGGGCCGCCCAGACCTGGTGACGTCAGGCCGTCACCGCAGCCTCCAGGCCCGTGGGGTCTTCTGGTCTCAGCCGCGCACCTTCACGCCTGTGCTCCGCCGACGGCCAGGCGGCAGCCTGCTGCTGGGCGTGCCACGGCTGTGGGCTCCGGCCCTGGGGAAGCTGGGCCCGCTGGCATCCTCACAGCCGGCTCCAGCGCGCCCCCGCGGTCACATGCCAGCTCCTGGGAGCGCGACCGGGGGTGTGCAAAGCCTCTTGAAACCTAGGCTGAGAGCGGGCAGGACGTCATCACTGCCACCTTCTGTTCATCAGATTCAGAGGGTGGGGGTCAGACCCCCCTCTCCATGGGAGACATGGGGTTCAGGCAGGGAAATAACTGGAACCATTTTTGGCCTCCACTGCCCAGGCCCAGAGCGCCAGACGGGCCACCGTCAGCCGTAGCCCGGGGCACACCTCCAGGTCGCTGTCGCTCCGTGTCCCGCTGCCGTGTCACCAGCTCTCACTTTTGACGTTCCCACACTCCCTCACATCCCCCCAAAGCCCTGGCTCCCACCCATGGCTGCTGTGGGGAGCTTCCATCACCTGCCAGGGGGTCCCACGTGGGTGTCCACCCCCAGCAACATCTAGCCATGGGGCTGCGGGAAACGTCTCTTTTTCAGTGCAGAAGCCAAGTTTGACTTCATCTAACAAACACGCACCAGACCCTTAGGTTTTGTTAGGAAGAGCTAGTTTTCCCAATACACCGGCAGAGTGGAGGGCATTGAAGATGGCACCAAGGATGTGCCAGGCTCACATCTGTGGGAGATTGCCAGCAGAGGCAGGACGCGCAGGGCAGGGGAGGGGGCTTGTCTTTTGCCACCGCAGTGGCGGCTTGTTCCTGGGGAGCTCCTGAGAGCCAGTGGCCCAGCAGACCCTGGTCTCAGCTCTCTGGCCACAGACAGCTTGGTCGAGCAGCTCTCCTGGAGGGTCCCAGTGCGGCCGCAGCTGCCTGGCACCCAGACCCAGGCAAGACCAGGATACCTGTTGTGAGCTCCCAGACACCTGCCAACATGCACTGTTGACTTGGGTAAGTGACGATGTATTTATGGGGCAGAATCCTCAGGAAATACTTTTGCTTCTGGGAAAGCTGCCCTAAACACACACCTTTGCCTGGAGGGGACGAGATGAGTCTTGAATCATTTTCATGACTCAGTGTGGAGATGGGGAGTGGCCTTTGCTTCCGTGTGTACGGAACACGCATGCCACTGTGGATACCTCTGCGTCGTCCATGCCCCTCTCTTCACCCTTTCCTCCATACTTCTTCCTCCTTGGGTCTCCTTCCTGTGGCCAAGAGCATTTCGATAGTGTCTGCCCACACTCACTCCCCAGATGACAAGAGTGTGGTGTGAAGCCTCTGCTTCTCTGCTGTTCCTCTCCTAGACCACGCTCTGTCTTTCACCTGGGGCTTTCCCTTTGGCTTGTGGGAGAGGTCACAAGTCCTCTTTTGTTCTTTCTAAAAGACGCATGCCAGGTACTGTCTCTGGTCTGTGTGTTTGCTAAAGAACAGCATCATCCCTGGGAGGTGTTTTTGGAGATTTAGGGTGAACATGTAAAGCGAAGATGATCTAGCTGGGGCTGGGGACAACAAAAGATCACCCCTGCTTTATTATCCTGCTTCTACCTTAGAGACCCATGGAGCTGGGTTCAAATCTCAGCTCTGCTGCAGCCTTGGGCAAGGGACCCTACCTCAGTGGGCCTCAATTTCCATTTCTGTAAGATAGCGATAATGAAGCCTCCCTTAAAGAGACAGTTGGATGTTGAGCATCTTGGCTTGTGTTACCCTTCCTGGCACCAGGAACTATGCTGGGGATCTCTGCTGCCTCCATGCCAGCTGTGGTCTTGTGGTGAGATAGCTGACGCGCCCCACACCCCAGTGGGGGGCCAAGGACCCAGTTCTGGCCAATCAGTTCTTTTCCAGGTTTTAAGGAGACCAAGAAAGAAGTTCACTCTTGTGAGGCAGGCAAGGTAGGTGTTACTGGCCTGGCTGTGGTTGTCTCCTATGGGGAGGGGAGCAGGTATAGCTGTATGTGGGTGTTCAAATGAAGTCCTTGGACCCCGACCTCTGTGCCACTTCTGCATGCTGGCTCCACAGGCCCCATGCCCATCCTGAACCAATAGTTTTGGTCAAGCTTGACTGCCTAGAGAGGCTCACTTGTGCTTCTAAAAGCTTGGGGTGGCCCCAGAGTTGCTAAGGATCATTTCCAGAGGGAAGACTGGGGTGCTGATGTAACAAAAGAAAGACAATGGGCACAGCAGGCAAAAGCAGGTGGACCCCAGACCCCTCCCGAGAGCTATGTGGGTATCACTGGGGTTATTTGCATGGAAGGGTGGGACAAGTCCTTAGCTCCCATCCCCCCATCCCCACTCCAGCCCAGGACAAACTTTTGTACCTAAGAGCACTCAGCAAATGTTTGATGGGAACGTGGATTTTTAAATTCTCAGAGAGGAGTTATAAAAAAGGAAGGAATAAAGCAAGGCACGTGCCCACTCGAAGATGGCGCATCTGAATGACAACCATGGACTCAGAATTTTTTACTCTAGGTACTTTTTTTTTTTTTTTGACACATACTTGGCGTAAAACTTCATGCATAGGGTAATTCTCACCATAGTACTCTGAGGTGGGGTCTAAACAAGGGCATCTAAACTTTACTCACTGTGTTGTGCCAACATTATGGCATGTGCTTTATTCACATAGAGCATCACAAGCTGATTCCCACAGCAGTGAGGTCGGGGACACACACCCATTTTGCAGAAGGATATCCCGAGGCCCAGTAAGGCTTACCTATGGTCACACCTTAAGGCAACAGCAGAAGTGGGGTTTGGACCTGGGTATATGGTATTTTCATAGAGTGTGGGCTCTGTGCTCCTGCTAGGACATTTTTATTTGCTCCTTTCTGGCACAAGGATGATTCTCTCAGTGTCACTCGAGAAGAGGATGGCCCTGCCCTGAGTGTGGGTCCTGTGGGGCCTCCCTATCATGGACAGGAGACCAGCCAGTACTGCATTGAGAATGGCAGTCACGTAGCCCCAGCCCAGCTGACACTGGCCACCGTGGTACATGGAAGAGGCGCCACAGGCTTCCTTGGCAAAAGGGGAGGCCAAGCTGACTGGGAAAACCAGAAGACCCACAACAGAGGCAGTGGCTAGAGGGCGAGAAGGAAATCAGGTGTCATTTGAAGGACCCTGGGCTCACTGACCCATACACCCCTACACCTTCTCACTCACCCATCCACTTGCCTGTTCGTCCTTTCATCTTTTCTGAATCTCATTCCTTTTATCTACCCACTACTCAATCACCTTCCACTCATCTGTCTATCTGCTCATTTTCATTCAACCATGTTCTAATCCACTCATTCTCTCCACCTC